CAGGCAGGGCTGTCAGGAACGGGGGGGCTCGGTGCCAAAGGGGCCGCACCCCCTGCCCCGTCCCTGCGCTGGGCCGGGCAAGGGAGGTGCTTCGTGCCAGCTCCGCTTCCCCCCCCCCCCCACTTCCCCCGTCTCTGTCCTTTGGCCCCAGCTGGGAACCAGGCATCTCTGCCGCCCCGGCAGCTCCCGGCGGGTCCCGCAGCAGCGACGGGTGATGGGGCAAATCCCCCACAGACCGGGCGGCCCTTGGACGGGGATTCTCCTGGCAGGTCAGAGGGGAGAACGTGGGACCCAGGTGTCCGGGACACAAAGGCCTCCAATAGGAGAAAGCCGAGGGGCTGCGGGTCAGGACTGAGGGGCACCGGCAGAGCTGGGTGGGGGGACCCCAGGGCTGGGGTAGCAGGAGGGGGGTGTGACGCTTCCTTCCCCAGGCTGGTTCCATCCCCAGGCTCCCCAGAGACCCGGGGGGCACCATAGAAGCCCCATTGTTCCCCACAGATCCTGCTTTGCATGGGGAGATTAGCAGGGGTCAGCTGTTTCTTTGTGTCTCTGTCCCAGAGCACTGGGGGGGACACACCCAGACCCCCCCCCGCACTGAACTCCGTCCCCCCAGATCTAGCAGGCGGAACCAGCCCAGCGCAGAGACCCAGGGACCTGGAACCCGCAGGGGGAGAAGGGAGAAGAAACTTCCCCCCCCTCCCCCCACCGGTTCCTTCCTCCAAAGCGAAGGGGAAGTGGGCGGACGAGGCCGGGAGGGGAAGTCTGAGGCCGGAGGGGCCCCCGTGGGGCTGCCCTGCCTGTGGGTCCGGACTCCAGGGTCCCGGCTCAGAGGCGCCGCCCCTGGGTCGAGGCAGGTCCCGCTCCAGGAAAAGGTGTCGGGCGGCACCTGGCGAGGGGTCCCTTGCAGCTGAGAGGGTGGAGCAGGGTCAGGGGGGACCCAGGTGTCCCGGACACACAGGGCTGTAACAGGGGACAGTGCAAATGAAAGCAGAGGGGCTGCAGGTCGGGAGTGAGGGGCACCAGTTAGTATCAGTCTCTCTGGTCTCCCCACACCCGCAGCCTCCGTCCTGGGCTCCTGCCTCCAGCCGGCGCCGGCCCAGACCCCAGTGACCATCGTCCTCACCCCGCCGAGCCCCGTGGTGGGAGGGGGCGTCAGCCTGGCCCCAAAGAATCCGCCACAGCGCTTCCTGTCCTGCATCTGGTACCGATCAGTGACCGCTGATGAAAACAGCCGGATCCTCACCTACTTCCCACCTCCAAACCCCATTCAGCAGAACGGCTCGGCCCACACGGGGCGGGAGACATTGGGGCCGGGCTGCGCCCTGAACATGGCGGGGTTAATGCTCAACTACACCGGGAACTACACGGTGCTGATAGCGAGCCGGACTAACCCCATTCTCTCCACGGTGGTTCTGCACGTCTCTGGTAAGTGCCACCCCCGGGAGCTGCGCTGATCCCAGGCTGTGTCCCCCCCCTCCCCCTGCCATCCCCGCCCCAGCGATGGGGCTTTGGGCATCTCCCCCGGGGATGAGCCCGGCTGGTGAGGGGCTGTCGGGGGCCTGTGAGGGGTGTGTGGGCCCCCCAGGGTGGGGGTGTCCCCACATCCCCCAGGGTGTCTCTGACCCCTCCCTGTTTCCCCAGAGCTGCAGGCTGCACAGTGGGGTGTGTACGACCAGCTGC